GCCATCTGCGTGCTAAGTGCCAACCTGGATTTCAGTCCTGTCTGGCTTGGATTACCCACTGGTTGTTTGTACCTTATTATTGCTCCATCACCTCAACCTCAACACAAGTCTTTACCACTGCTAACTCAGGAAACCAGTTTCCCATCCTTGTTAGCAATACTTGAAATTACATTTCACTCCTCCTCATCTTCCTTTCTTCCCCATCCCAGGTCATTCATCAGATTCTGCTAGGCTTTTGTTTTCCTCAAAAGTGTCTTTATCCCTCATTTGGTTTGGTTGTGGTTTGTCCCCCAGAGGTTCATGTGCTGTAGGCTTGGTCCTCAATGTGGCAGTATTAAGAGGTGGCGGAGCACTAAAGAGGTAGGATCTAGTTCAAGCTGAGTAGGTCATTGGGTGTGCTGCCCTCTGAGAGATTGTGAGTTGGTTGTTATGAGAGCTGATTGTTGTAAGGTAAAGTCATTCATGTTCTAGGACCCTTTTGTGTATAGCCATTTCCCTTCCCTTTTCTCTACACCTTGTGATACAATTAAAGGAGCCCTCATCAGAAGCTAAACAGATGGGGATGCTTGATCTTGGATTTTCGGCTTCCAAAACTGTGAGCTAAATAAACTTCTTTTCTTCGTAACACACCAGATCCAAGTATTTTGTTATAGCAACAGAAAATGGTTGAATACACCTTCCTTCCCTCCTCACTTTCACCACCCTGAACTCCATCAACTGGAGGCCCACTTGTCCTGATCTTCAGGTACTGCTTTCTATCCTGCAATACCTCTCTGCCTTTAACCCCTTTTGCTCAAACTTAATAAGTATCAAAAAAGAGAATGATCATCACAAACACAAACAGAAACTTCTGTGACTTCCTTCTGCTCTCTCTACAATCTAAGACTTGATTTTCATACCTCCATAAGCAGGTACCTACCTCCCTGCTTTCAAATATATTCCCATTTCACAAATATTTGCCCAAGGCAATTCTTTCCTTTCTCTCCTGAAACAAAGACTGCTCCTTGTCCTTCAGCCACCTCAATGTGGGTCCTCCTCAGGCCCTCCTGAAATCCTCTGACTAATCCTCGTGGATCAGCGACTCCTCTGTTGTGTGCCTGGAGTTGGTATCACCTGAATGATCTCTGCCATGATGTTTGCACCTTACCAGTGTTGGCCATGGGAACCAAGTTTTTATGTGGAGATAGTGAGTCTTATCTCTCATTGATTATAAATGCTTTGAGATTGGAAACCATAAAATACTACTTTATGATCTTTTACCATGCTTGACTCACATAGCAAATACTCACATCCTTGTACGATTAATTCAAACATCAAAAGTTGAGGTTAACTTGAATTTAAAATACAGATCTCACCATCTTGATTAAAACTTTGAAATTTCTAGCAAGTTTTGCATAACTTTCCAGGATCACAAGAGCCGACACCACAAGGAAATGAGTTGACAGCTGGTATGAAGTAGAGAAACCTCACGGGATATTTTAGGGAAGTGAATAGCCTCTAGCACACTAACCCTAGTTTTTTCCAGAGAAGTTTAAAGAACTCTTGTGAAGAAATACATTGTTGAGTAACTGAGGGGCATGTCTCCCAGTTGTGAAGTATTTGAGTTGGGTTTGTCACCTTTTCTGATATCCCTCTTCTATTCTTTACTTTTCTGACTACTTGTATTACAAAAGAGAATACTAAGGTTAGCAGTTCCATTCTCCCAGTCCAAATAGAAGAAAACCAAGTTATATTCTGAATATCTGCATATTTCCTCTCAGCAATTCTTTGTCCTCTTCTCTATAATGCTCTGTGTCATATTTTTTAGTAGACCCTGGAGTCATCTATAATTTTTACTTCCCTTCAGTAACATTACATTGATATTCACCTCTGATGTGCAGATGAAATTACCAAATGCAATAAGGTGAAGCCAGAGGTTACACAATAAATCTGGTCCCAAACAGAGGTGACCCTTGAGTTTCCAGTCTGTTGATTGGCCACTGAGCCGTGCTACAAGCATACAAAGGAAGCTGCATCCACAGCAGAATATTCTGGGTGGTTGCTGAGCTTCGCATTTGTTATTGCTTTATGTCCTGTAAGGCCCAGTGTTTTCTTCCACCACATCAGCTAGCTTGATTGGGCTTCCCCAGTCCCCTCCCCACACCCTGAATATGAGGGTACAGCATGTGATTTCAAGCAGTGTCAGGATGCTCTGAGAAACCAGAAGAGTGAGTGCAAGCTATTTTTTGTTGTCAGAGCGAGGCTGTGTAATATAAATGAGTAGTTTACCTTCCCTAAATCTTCCCCCTACTGTACCCATATTATTCGGTTGTAATGTGTGTAAATAGTAGCTAAGCAGTTGAAGTGGCTGAGTGGGAGAAATCTCATTTTGGAATTTCACTTGCTGTACTGAACTAAATAAGGAATGTGGGTTGTTGGCTTTGTGACAAGTTCTCTGTCATTTTTCAGAAATATTTGGACACACTGAGGCCTATTTAGAATCACTGGAAAAATAGGGGGGAATAGAATGAACATTATGGGCGAGCTGCCAGCTTATAGTAGCAGCAGCAGCAGCAGCAGCAGCGTACCAGCCTGCTGAGTCACAGCCCTGGCTCCTGAGGGGTTCTAGCGCCCTTGTGAGTCAGGTGTGTCTGTATGCTGGGAAGTGGAGTTGCAGGCTGTTAAGTCTAGTAAGAAGTGCAGGCTTGTAAATAGTGGTGAACATGTACAGAACAAGTTCAGAGATGGGAAGCTGGTTTTGCATGCATTCTGTTGGATTTCAAAGGTTATGTCCACCTCATTAAGCCTTTGCCAGGAGCCTTTGGAGTAGGGACTGCAGATTGGTTTCAATTGACAGTTTTCTTTGAATTCTTAAACACTGATGCTGTCTTAGACCCTGCCATCAAGAATTCTCTGTTACCTTGCTTTAAACCTTCAGGTCCTTCAAGATGTATTGTAGAGGTGGAAGGACCTTCTTTTTGGCCTCCAGAGGGTAGTCTTTGAGTGAGAGCAGTGGAAAGATTGAGAAGAACTCGCAGCTGAATCAAAGTGATTTTTCAGTTTTGGTGGATGCCGCCATCAGGAACTGATGCTTCCTGCTGTCTCTTTCACCCTACTCTAGAATATCGGATCCAGACAGTGAGCCTATCCAAGGGGAATGCTGCTCTTATCAAGCTGTTCCTTAGAACAGGGTTTCTGCCTTTCTGATAGTCAAGCGCATACTAACGCATTTGACATCACATCCCTGGATTATGCACACAAAGACCTCAGTTTTACCACATGAGTCCACACTGTTGTTCTGGGTTTTCTTTTTTTTAAATGCTGGTTGTGGCTCCCTCGGTAGTGCTTGCAGGTGTAAAATCCATGCCATAGAAGATAAAGTGCTACCTATGCTGATTAGCTCTGGACAAAGTCTCAGTTGGGCTTGCTCTAATCTCCTGTCCTTTTTGAAACTTCTGCATGCCCAGCCTTTGCAGTTATCAGCCTGAAGAGGAGTGATCATGGGGGATGGGAAATATATCAGAATCTAAAAGCCCAGTGGTCTGGATGGAGATACCATAGCCAGAACTGGTTCCATTTGGCAGAGTGCTCAGTATGTGCAATTACTTTTACATTCAAGGCCAAGGGTGGGGGTGGGGGTACGTGTGGAAAGGTCTCAGGGCACAAAGCACAGCCTTCGTCCTGGGACTTGTGATGTGGATTCGCGATGACCCCACCTGCATTGCCTTTTCCCTTCCAATCCTGGCCAAAGCCCAGGAGACAGTTGTGTCACCATGATTGAGAAAGTTGACTTTTCTAGGCAAGGAGGTATTTATTTGTGGCAAGCAGTGGGGACAGAATTCTTGAGGAAGGAGGGTCCTGTTTCCTAGTAGTGGAAGAAAAGGGCAGTATGGCATGGACCTCATCTGAGGTGGCACCTAGCTGGTCTTGACTCTGAGTTTTCCTGAATAATCAGTACTTTGACACTCCAGCATGATTCTTGGCACCCATATTTGGTAAATGCCTACTGGATGCTGAGGGTAGAAGTTCTACACCACGGTGCTTGAAAAATCATAACACAGTAGGTCAGAAGGTGCTCACTGGAACATCTTTGAATGAGTGGGGGGGCCCAATTCAGGCTACTGGAGACAAATACCTATAGGACTTGAGGTGAGCATACTTCATACTTGCAGGGAGGTGGGACGTGCCAGGTCCCAGCACTACCAGTGCAAAGGGCAGAGCATATGCAAATGCCAGGTGGCTGAGGTTTCAGCCAGTGGTTTGCTGTGTGACAGAATAGCTGGGAAGGCAGAGCCTGAAGGGTCCTGGGTGCCCTGCAAAGCCATGACTTAAACTGAATCTTGTACGTCATGGGCAGACTCTGAAGGGGTTTGAAGAGCTCAGCTGATCTCATGGTTAAGTCTGAGTTTTGGAAAGGAGAACATTTAAACTATAAAGCAAATCTTGACTCTTTGTTTTTGAACCTTGATTTATAAAAAACAAACAAATAAAAAAACAACTCTTACTCCTGCCTTTTCTGGATCAAGTGTTAATAGATCTTTGTTGCTATATACTTTATTTTCATCTGTGTAACTACTTTCATTGTGATTATATTCAAGTTAGTATTTTCACAGATATACTCGTTGAACTTTAGTATATATGTTGGTCACCATTTTGGAGGTGCTTTTTTTTTTTTTTTTTCCCCCTGAGGGTTGTGGGTATGTGGCTCAGTGTAGAGTGCTTGTCTAGCAGGCACAAAGCCCTGTGTTTCATCCCCGCCACTGCCCAAAATACAAAGCAAAAACAGTGAGAAGAGGAAAGGAATGTCTATATTTTGAATGGGAAGATAGGATCAAGCAGTTTTTCTGCTTTTTTTTTCTTTATATTCCTCTAAAAAAATAAACAGCTGTGTGCCTCTGCTAAATACTAACTGCTTTGTGAGTCAGGTTACATTTGGTTTTAAGGAATTATGAGTAGCATGTCTATTTTTGTACTCAGTAACCCATTCACTTGTTATTCTTTTGTCTTTTTGATTCTGATAGGTCAAAGTTCATGTTCACTGAAAGAAGTATATGAGCTAGCTGTTCATGAGGCCACCCACCAGACTTAATGAAGGATGCCAACGTGGAAGAATTTTGATGTTACAGTGTCCTCACTCGATAGTGTATTTCATTCTTTTGCAATCCTAGAAAAAATGGTATTATTTCACACTATTGTGGGAAATAGAAGATCCTTTTCTATTTTTAATGACTAACATGTATTAATATGGACATTAATTCAACAAAATACCAAGTTCTATGGTGTCAAAGCAGCAAGCACCCATTTGAAACTGATCCCAAATAAAAACAGACCTGAGTGGACATGAGAATGTTTGTTAGTGGCAGAAGAGTAAAAAAATGTCAGTTTATTCAATTATTTGCCACTTGTTTTATACTAAGCCTCATGTTTTTTTGGGGACACATTGATAATCACATCGTGAGCCATATGAAGTCCTACTCTTACAGATACCTCATAAATAGCTATGACTTTGTGAATGATACCCTGTCTCTTAAGCACAGCTCAGAGGGGGCTCGCTACCCATACTTGATTAACCACAAGGAGAAATGTCAAGCTCAAGAGGTCCTCCTTTTGCTGTTTATAAAGACCGCTCCTGAGAACTACTATCGCCGATCTGCGATTAGAAGAACGTGGGGCAGTGAGGAGTATGTTCGGTCTCAACTCAATGCCAACATCAAAACTCTGTTTGCCTTAGGAACTCCTAATCCCCTGAAGGGAGAAGAACTACAAAAAAAACTGGTTTGGGAAGATCAAATATACAATGATATCATTCAGCAAGACTTTGTTGATTCTTTCTATAACCTTACTCTTAAATTGCTTTTGCAGTTCAGTTGGGCAAATACCTTTTGTCCACATGCGAAATTCCTGATGACTGCTGATGATGACATATTTATTCACATGCCAAATCTTATTGAATACCTTCAAAGTTTAGAACAAATTGGTGTCCAAGACTTTTGGATTGGCCGTGTTCATCGTGGAGCCCCTCCCATTAGAGATAAAAGCAGCAAATACTATGTCTCCTATGACATGTACCAATGGCCGGCTTACCCTGACTATACTGCTGGTGCTGCCTACATCATCTCTGGTGATGTGGCCGCCAAGGTCTATGAGGCATCTCAGACACTGAACTCCAGTCTCTACATAGACGATGTGTTCATGGGCCTCTGTGCCAATAAAATGGGGATAGTACCACAATACCATGTGTTTTTTTCTGGGGAAGGGAAAGCTCCTTATCATCCCTGCATCTATGAGAAAATGATGACATCTCATGGACACGTACAAGATCTTCAGGACCTTTGGAAGGATGCTACAGATCCTAGAGTAAAAACTGCTTCAAAAGGGTTTTTTGGTCAATTATACTGCAGGCTAATTAAGATTCTTCTCCTTTGCAAATTGACCTATACAGACACGTATCCTTGTAGGGCTGCTTTTCTCTAATAGCACTTGAATGTTTTTACTGTCACTGAGCCAAACCTGGATGGAAAACCCATTAAATGTTTGTCTGAATACGGAGTAAATGAATATGAAAGTCAAAAGAAATATTTTGAAAGCCCAGTCTATCAGAATGTTTCTTTGATTATAGAAGCCAATCAGTATCAATTATCTGCTTCATGGCCTAAATTCATTTAAAGGAGTTCATATTTACAAAAGGGTTATATCATGAATAGAAACAAAACGAATGAGAAATTCACCTCTCATTTAATGCCACATGTATATTGGAAGTGTGAGTTGTGAACCTTGGTATTAGAAAAACAACTTTTTAGAGACATTAATATATCGTTAGACTGGGTATTCTAGTTTATTTCTGTTCCCTGCTCCACCACTTGGCAGAGGCAGTGGGGCAGGGAAGGGTTGGAATGGGAGAAAGTACATGAATCTGGCAAAAGAGTCTTTTGTTCTTAAAAGATGTAGGATGATGTCTACTGTTTCATTAAAAATAGCTGAATCACCTAATGGTAATATCCATGTAGCTATTTGCCTAGATACTGTTGGCATCATTTTAAATATCTTTTTCTCAAAGTTTAATGTGAACTTTGAGAATCAAAATCATTGGCTCTGCCCTAACTGGTACTTCATTTCTTTTTCCTTTCCCTCTAATATTAGAGAATGGCACAAAACATGGGCATTCTCATGTTTGATGATAGGGTGCTAATTTAGGGAGAAATGATCATCAGTTCCAATAAGCTGATTTAATGAATTTTTCAACTGTTTTTTAAATATTCAATATTGTTTAAGGTAGTTATTTAAATGTTTTTTTGCATAGGTGAATATATTACTGGAGGAGACTTCAAAAAGAAAAATAGGGCTGGGGTGGAGCTCAGTAGAAGAGCTCTTGTAGCTTGCGTGTAGCCCTGGGTTTGATCCCCAGCACTGCAAAACCAAAAGCCTCCTTCCTCTCTGATTTATAAAATAAACCTTAGTTTGTAATTTCTTGTACTGATTATTAAATATAACCCACCTCTTCCCAGCAAGGTCTCAGAAACCACACTATTTTGTTCCAAGTTCAGAGTCAATTTTAAATTGCGAGTATTAAATGTCAAATCAAAGCTTTCGTATCTAAAACAATCTATTTGATCAAATAACTATTAGAAATGAGCTTTATTTTTAAAATATTTTAAACTTGAAAGCAGAGTAAAAGTGATAATAGAGAGTTGCCAGATGAGATTGAAAGTGTTTGTAAAGCTCCAGGTTCCTTTGTGATCAGAGATGTGGTAAAGTAAGTTACATATATTTTACAAAGCAGGATAAAATTGTGGCCATGATGCAAACAACCTCCCCTCACTACAGAATTAGGTTATGTGCATTACCAGGGAGATTATATGAAGGCCAAAATAGTGATTTCAGCAAAAATAGTTGAACTGATTATAAAACCTTTAGCTGCAGAGAAACCTGACGGGGACAACTCAGATGTCTCATGGGATAAGATGATTTCTGAAACATGCAAAACAAAACTAAAAGATTTCTCAGTATACACAACTGGATGATGATATTTATAATTTGTAGCAGGTAGATTTTTAATGTTTACAGGAATTTTTGTTAATTTTTTCTCCTATTTTGAAAATTTGAGGCTTGTTTACATTGCTTAGGTAATTACACTAGTGTCAAACATTGTAGGTTGTAGTTACTGTATTTAGAATAGACTCAGAATCTTAGATCATTACAGTTTCAAATTTCTGACCAATTTTAAAAATGGTAGAGAAAAAAAGCACATTTTGACAAAGCAAGTTTATGAGTAATTTTTATTAGTTGATTCCTTAATGACTGTTTGCCTTTGGGCCATATATACCCTGTGTTTCTCTCTATTCTAGGAACTATTAAAATTTGCCATTGGTTGAAAACCTCAGCATCTCTCTGGCCATCGAAGTGATCTTGTTTACAGCAACACTTTTGTGAAACGGTTATTTATTTGTTGAAAGAGCTCTCTGGAACTGTGTTCATCTTTTTTTTTTTTTTGCTTAGAATGGAATGGAACAGGTTTAAATTTTAAGGAAATATGAAGGTACTTTCTTTGTTTTAGAAGAAGGAAGCTGCCTGATGATTCCTTCATCAGACTTCAAGTACTGAGGAGAATATTTGTAAATAGAAGTGTTTTAACCTTTTAAAAAGGAAGGGAAAACAAAAACAAAAACTTCATGGTGCTCCAATGCAGGTTTTTTTTTTTTTTTTTTTTTTTTTTTTTTTAAATATCAACAAAGGGAAAATAAACTATTAGCGTGGATGGTCACTTGAGTAAAAGATGTTTGTACACAGTGTTACTGTTAAAAACTTTTTACCTCTTACTGGTTTGCATCTTTTTTCCATATTAATAATTTTATACCAAAATGTTAATATTTATATTATGAGTTTTGCTCTTGTACAGCAAAATACTTAGTGGGTTTAAAAAAAAACCCTAAGATTTCCAATAAACAACTTAAAAATTGTCAGCAGGTGTGTGTTTAGACTCTGGTGTGGACACCATTTGTTTATATGATCAGCTCCTGTTTCATGGCAGAGAGGCATGACTGTGCCATCTTAGTCCTCTTCCCATTCAGGCTTGCTGTTGTACCCAGGAGTCCTCTGGTTTATGGAACCACCTAGCATGGCTTCGTTAAAGGACAGGCTGTAATGTCCAGGTAGGGGAATGTCCTTTTCTAATAATTTTTTTCAGGAAGGGATGACATAATAACTTTCAGCCATAGTGCCTTAAAAACCATTTGAAAAGGTTATATTTTCCTTTTATGTGATACTTTTCATTAGCTGCTGGAAAGTAGATCTGAAGTCTGCCGTCATCTCTTACCATTAGGAATGCTTGTGCCTAAGCTGGAGTGTTTGGTGCTTTGGTGTATTTGCATATAGGATGCACTCATCTGTCTTTCACCTGGTTGCTGTTCAATTCTTAGTGTGTATAAAAGATAATCCAGTCTATGTATTTTCTAAAACTTGGAAGCATCTGAATTACTCAGTTGTAGTAGAACATGCAAGGAATGGTTAGGATATTTGTGGACAGGACTAAAGTGAATATTGATTACTTAGAAGAGTTAAATTAACTTGCCCTACATTTGGAGACTACTTGGACACCAAAGCTGCAATGAGAATGGGACCAGAGAACTCTGGATGCAGGGTTATCCATTCTGTTCTAACAGAGGAATGGTCCATGTTTGCCTGACCCAGTAGGTTCTTCATTCTGCAGCAGGACAAGGTTTCATCACAGCTAGCCTCATAGTATTCCTTTGTAAGCCTCCATACTGCCTCCAGCATCTTATGCAAATTCTTCTATCTGGTTTTTGAGGCCCTCTGTGACCTTCCTTTCCTTCATCCTCTGGGGCTTAATTTTTCCCACTGCCACCTTTATGCATCATAAATGTCATTGTGCCCTGTCTATGTTGGCTTTTTTTTTTTTTTTTTTTTTTTTTTTTTTTTTTTTTGCCAGGAACACCATTTCTTCTGCATTGGTTGAGATCTTGGAAATCCAACCCCACCTTCACTTCTTCAAACATCTCCTACCCTCCTCAAATTTATACTTCATCACATATATTATTATATTATCTACTAATTGTTCCATATGTTTTCTCCTAGCTGTAATATAAGTTCTGAAGGTGGGAACTCAGCATATCCTAGCACATAGTGTTCAAAAATCACCTTTCTCCAAATAAAATAAGGCAATGTTATTCTACAAGCCATCAAACTGTGAAGAGATTAATTATTCAGAACTTTTAATGGGCACTATCCGGTATAAAATTTTACTATACTAATTAAAAGTTTATACTTTATCCAAAAATGTCTAAATGCTTCTCTACGTCAAGCTACTGTAATATCAACTGTAGTGCCAACAAATTCATATTAGTTATATATCAAAACTCAAGTCCAAAATTAGGGATAAATAAGAAATACACATTAAACTGTTATACCAAAGACTGGTGATCTTAAGGTATTTAGGATGGTAGAACAAAAGCTAATCTCATAGATTCTCCTGTCTCCTGATTTATTGATGGATTAAGTTTTCACTTTTTCAAAGTTTTTTGCAAGAACATTTTTGTTTCATTAGTTACATGCTGTAAATTTTTCCTTTGTCAATAGTAGTATGATTTAGTGATCTACTGTAAAATAATACAGTAATCAACTAACTTATAGAACACATTTAGACTTTTAGAATTATAAAGAAGGTATGGGTTTTGGTAATAGAAAAGCCCCAAAAGATAAACTCACAAATGGAAAACAACAGAACACATCACTGTCAAATGGTGCTTTTCAGAGACCACTCTACTAAACACTTTCAGAAATGCTGAATTGGGCCATTCACTGTAACTCAAGGATATATTTAATAAATAAACCCACATCTGTTTCTTTGAGTATATCTTAAAGTGAATGAATGAAAATAATAAATGGCTTTAGTCAAGGGGCAAGTTCTTAAAGATATTTGCTCATTCATTTCATAGGCATTTTTTATAGGCCTGTCAAGCCAATCACTACGATAGACCCCAGGGACAGAAGCAGCTCATGAGTCAAATGACATGGGTAGAAAGATGTGACTACTGCCAGAACAGGGGTTATGATGGGGATTCTGAGTAGGAAGGTTTTTATTTTTTATTTTTTTAATAAATTCCCCTTATGCTTCTGGTTTTTACCTCCCTAATTTAGGCTAAGCTGCTTTCACATGTGTGCAAACACCTTCTTGAAGACCAAAAAATAGCATTGGATTTGTATAAATTGTGTCCTTTGAGAATGAAGAGCTTTTAAAAGGGTTAAAGTCAATAATTCAGTCAATATCAACATTAGTTTACATGTCATATTCACTTAATACTCCATTTTTGAAACAGTGTACCCTTGGAAGTTTCGTTTGTAAGATGTTTTCAATTCTCTTGTTGCTTTTATGAGATGCATGATTTTTGTTCTCAAGTACATAGTAAATGCTGTGAGTTTCTCTGGGAAAGATAAGGGATGAGATTTAAAACAGAGGGTTCCCACCCCCATAGATCTATAAGAGAAGCCGGCCCCCAGATCTGCTGACTTACTTTCGAGGGGAAAGGTCTTCTCTGTCAAGGTGCTCCAACTCAGGGTTCCCGTCATCATGACTCCTTGTAAATATTTCTTCATTCTGAAGTGAAAGAAATTTTGGTGAGATCTAGTTTCAGGAGACTTTTACTCTATATTTTTCTTCCCCCCAATTTCTGTGTTTGATTCGGCTTTGGCTTTTCTAGATGAGCAGCATGAGCAGGTTCTCTTTCAGTTCTTTATCTTTTTTGGGTTTTCCTCAGCCACTCAGATCTGTTACAGTTCACCCTTCAGGCTGCCTTTAGGAAGGTCAGAAACTCATACTCAAAAGCAGGTGTCCTTTTTCTTTACTCGCAAAGGGCTAGTCACACTGCACTCTTCCGTGCCCTAAAAACAATTCAGAGTTTGAGCTAGAAGGAACAGGAAAAGGATCACTTCACTCAATATCTCCTTGTTTTTGTCTTTGCTTTTGATAAGAAATCCAGGTATGGAGGTATGCCGGCTCAAGGCCAGAAAGAGCTAGAGGCAAAGATGAGGTAAGCCATTGTGGGCCTCCATGGACTGGTGGTCGGAAGTCACGTTGTCCCACCATCCTCTTGGGCAGTGGGATCTTTAGGTGGCATGGCGGAATGATCACCAGTGTACGCTCCTAAACCAGCTGATGGTTGGAGGCCCCACTACCCCACTTGCCAGCTGTGAGATCCTGGGCAAGCTCACTTGGCCTTGGGGCCTCCATTTCCTCACCTAGAACATGGACCCCATACACCATCTGCCCTAGGGAGTCATGGGAAGAATTAAGTGAGAGCATGTGTAAATGCTTTTTATAGTGCATGATACTGGCTAATTATTTACTTGTTCCTTATTAATAATTTTATGATACTCTGTTTACTATCAATATTATATAAATCCACTTCATTGTTAAAACTGTTTTCTCTTTCTTCTTCTTCCTTCCTTTCTCCCTCTCTCCCTCCCTCTCTCTCTCTCTCTCTTTCTCTCTGACAAGAGTCTCACTGTGTTACCCAGGATAGTCTTGGACTCCTGAGTGCCAGTGATCCTTCATTTCAGGCTTCCTAGTAGTTGGGACTAAAGGCAGGTGCCACTGTACCTGGCTAAAACTATATTTTCTTTAGAGTAAACTGAGTCCTGCCTCTTTTTGAGAAATGCCCAGTGTTATTATGAAAAAGAGCCAGGCTTATGTAATTCCTGAGAAGACACTATTAGTATAGATTCATGTTTGCTTGAAAAGTACTAAGTACTTACTTAGAATATAGTGATATATTTCCTGGGTGTTTTAAAATCAATAAGGAGGTGAATTTTAAAAGCCCATCTTCATAAGACATTTTTTTAATAAGTGAAGATCTAAGTCTTTGAAGTTGTATTCATCATACTTAGGTTTCTCATTGAATTACTTTTTTAATTTCAAAATTTTCTCAACATTTGTCATTGGGACCATTCAGACAAGTATATTACACAAACTAAGATAGTCTAAGAGACTAATGAAAATGAATATTGATGAAAACCTAACATTTTGTGTGTATGTATGTATGGGTGGGCAGGTAGACCTAAGACCTACCTCTAAAAATTAAAAACCAAGTAACAATGCTATGGAACTTCTTAATGATTTTTATTGCTAAGAAATATTTTTTGGGGTTGGGAATGTGGCTCACTGGTAGACTGTTTGCCTCCCATGTACCAGGAACCAGATTTGATTTCCAACACCACAAAAGAAAAAAAATTAGATAAAAGAATGTTGTTATTCTATAACAAAATATCCAAGATTTAGATATTTTAGATTTTAAGATTTATGTGAAGTAATTCTTTATTTTCCTATTGGTTTATGGCCAAAGTAAGTCCCTAAGAGTCAGAACAGAAAATTTACTCAAGGCCAAAATTTTTAATAGTGAGTGAACAAAAATTAGATGATACATGTCCTCAGATCTGGAAAAGCATTTTATTTCAATTAAATTTTTTTTTTTACTTTAATATTAGGTTATTGGGGTTTAAGTTATATACCATAAAATTAACTTTTTAATATGTATAATTTATTGTTTTGACAATTAATTGTGTATCCAGCTGTGAACCCTCCACAATCCCAGGTCCCCTTATGTTCCTCTGTAGCCAGTCTCTTCCCTCTGCTTCCAGTCCCTGGCAACCACTGCTCAGACTTCTATCCTCTGGATTTTCCTTTTCCAGATCACTGTGTGAATGGCATCCAGGAGCACCTAGCCTTTGAGTCCAGCTTCTCTTACTGGCAAGTGTTTTGGTGATGTATCTCTGGTGCTGCCAATATCAATAGCCATGTTTTATTGCTAAGTAGTCTTCACTGTATGGACATACTAAACTTTCTTTATTCCCTTCAGTAAATATTTTAGTCTGATACTATGTAAATATTGTTTCAGCTATATAGATCAGGTTACAGTTCTGTTCCAGTGAGTTATTTATAAGGGAATATAGATGTAGAAAAGGCCCTCTTACAAAAGTATCGTGGAGGCCAATTTAATGGAAATAAAAAAGATTCCTTGCAAATGATAACTGAAAGTTAAAAGATGAGCTTTCCCCCAAGAATAGGTGGAATATGTTGGATGTGTCCTTGTAAAATAGGGGAGAGTGACAGGCTATTCAGCCAATTGTTGACAGTGCACCTGGGCTAATAGAAGGAAGTTAAGGCGAGGCAGTTTTATTATCTGTCATGCCACCCAGAGCAGGGATTTTAAAATGTTCAGTAGGGGGATGGGAATAGGAAAGACAGTACAATGAATCTGATCGAACTTTCCCATGTTCATATATGAATACACCACCAGTGAAACTCCCCATCATGGATAACCACAAGAATGGGATCCTAATTAGAATAAATTATATTCCATGTATGTATAACATGTCAAAATACACTCTACTGACATGTATATTGGAAAAGAACAAATAAAAAAAGGTCCATTGGACTAAAGAAAGTTGTGGGTCATTAATATTTTTTGTAGATAATCTTTTCCAATCTGGTATCAAATCCAGAAAGCAAACAGATATCAGATATATTGATTTAGTCAATTTATCTCTAAAATAAAATGTTAACCTTATATTCCAATAAGATGCCATTCTTTTAAGAGTCTAAATTTTAGTTCGTTGTTATATACATCTGACCAGGGACTAGAAAATATTTTTTTATAAGTCAATGTAGGGAAGTAAACACTAGTCCCAGGATTAAAAAAAAAAAAAAAAAAAAAAAAAAAACCAAAGTTTTCACCATACTATCCAAGCTCTTTCTTCATACTTTTTATAAAAATTTAACCAGTTAATATGGCAGTTAAAGTTATACTATATTCCTTTCTAGATCCACATCTATGACGTTCCTGTGTCTGAATTACCCACTGGACTTTGAACTCCAGTCTTATTCATCTTTGCATGCCGACCATGTAATACAGGGCTTTCAGAGGAGTAACCAATGCTATTGACAAACCTTTCTCTCACTGTAAAACTTGCTTCTAATTATACAGTGAACTGTGCTCTTTCCCACTCCAATGATCTATTGTTTGTGGGGTGGATTGTAGAGTCTTTTGTTTCATAATAACCTAGTGATGAACACTTTGTAACAGTGACTCAAGGCATAGTCTTGACTTCCTCACCTTGTACACTGAATGATGACACATCTCCAATTTATGAGATTTGTACACTTGAGACATCCTCTTGGACTTACAGAAATGCCTTGGCCTAGACTCAACAGTATCACTCCATGTTGTTACCACATGTCAGACAGTCCGGGTGGAGCAAAGGGAGACTCCTCTGCCAATCAAGTCTGATGGACTATAACATGGGTACCGTGGAAAGGTCCTCAGTAATCTGGAACCACTTTAATAAGAGCCTGCTGTGAGGTAGCTGCCCTGTACATCCATTTTTGTTAAGTCTCAGATTAGTTGTGTTGTAGTGTAGTGGCTTCCAAAGTCTGACCACAGCCCACAGGCAGCACACATGCCACAGATATGGAAAACTTTTTCAGTTATATTGTAACTGATGTAATACATATATTTTAAAATTATGCTATTCATTTTCATTCTGCTTCTTATTAATTAATTAATTGATTAATTTATAATTAATTAATTAATCTACCAAACTGTATTTACATTCACCATTATGACTTATAATTAAAAAATCTCTTATAAGTAAAAAGAACACAAGTTTGGATATGAGAAGTAGCCCTAGATGGAAATTTCTGGCTACTCTCTATTTAAAAATAAAAATACCTTGGTACCTTAGTTCTCTCATCTGTAAAATAAGGATAATTATGTTCACATCAGAGGGTTGATAAGGCAGTTACAGATTACATTCTAAAATGCTTAGCACTAATGGCTCAATAAATGGTAGTGGTGGTTGACTAATACCTACATTTTAAGGATTAAATGAGGTTCTGCTTGACTTTCAGTAAGTACTAGGCAATAACTACCTTCCTGTGTAAACCATGGACCCAAATTTTTAACCATGAAGAGCTAGCCAAGTTACTCAATCTCTCTGGCATTTTCTTGTGTATAAAATGAAGGAGATGTGTGATTTGGCTATGAAGCATACCTCTGCTTATAATATAAAAAACCAAGATAGGCGCTGTTGTTTCTGATTTTGAGATGAAAGTTGAATTGTAGCTGACCTGCTTTTGGGGAAAATTTAAGTTGTAATAGGGGGAAGAGGCTATATTCAAGTAAAAGCTTGCTTATCAAATACACCAAAGAAATTGACCACAGGCCAACCACCAGTAGCTACTTTATTTCTTTGCTAGCAATTCCTATGAGCCTCTTGGAAGTATAAAACGATACTCTTTTAAAATAGAGCCTAATAATTTCTTGTGAAATCGAGTCCTGGTTCCCTTCAATTATCCTAAGAGTTGTCACGGAGTTACATAAAGGGGGCTACATTCTTTAGCTAACTAGTCCTTAAGAGGAACCAACTCAAACTACCCCTCCAGAAGACAGACAGGTGGCACAGCCCCTCTCCCTTTATAGTCATTTTGTCCTCAAGAAAAAAGGGTGGCAATGGAGGAGGCAGGCTGGGAACTGCTCTAGGCCTTCAACCCCAGCTCCATCTCAGCCTCTCTCCAGTGTCCAAGTGCCACCAACCAATATA